GGAATTGGGCCCAGTTTGCTTTTCGCACTGGTTCGGATTGGTCCCAGTTGGTTGGGATTGGGCCCAGTTGGCTGGGATTCGGCCCACATGCGGTCCGGACACCCCCTCCTCCCTCACTTAAGGGGGGGGGGGGGTCCCGACCCCCCCCTCCCCTCCCTTGAAGGGGGGGGGGGTCTGGACCCCCCCCCCCCTCCCCCCCTTGGCGTTGGAAGGGGGGGGGGGGTCGGACCCCCCCCCGTGCAGGGAGTACGGAGTTGGGAGTAGGGAGTGGTGAATAGTGAGTAATGAGTTAGTGCGTAGTGAGTAGTGAGCGAGTAGGGAGTAGGGAGTAGGAAGTACTGAATAGTGAGTAGTGTGTACTGATAAGTGAATAGTGAGTGGCGAGTAGTGACTAGTGAGTAGTGAGTAGCGAGTAGTGAGTACTGAGTAGGGAGTAGGGAGTAATGAGTAGTGGGTAGTGAATTAGTGCGTAGTGAGTAGTGGGTGGCGAGTAGTGATTAGTGAGTAGTGAGTAGTGGTTAGTGCGTAGTGAGTAACGAGTAGTGAGTATTGACTAGTGAGTATTGAGTAGTACGTAGTGCGTAGTGAGTAGTGATGAATAGAGAGTAGTGGGTAGTGGCAGTGGGTAGTGAGTAGTGAGTAGGGAGTAGCGAGTAGTGAGTAGTGAGGAGCGAGTAAGGCGTAGTGAATAGTGAGTAGAGTAGTCAGTAGTGAGTAGTGAGTAGTGAGTAACGAGTAGGGAGTAGCGAGCAGTGAATAGTGAGTAGGGAGTAAGGAGTAGTGAGCAGTGAGTAATAAGAAGTGGGTAGCGAATAGTGGGTACTGAGTAGCGATTGGTGAGTCGTGGGTAGTGGGTAGTGAGTAGTGACTAGTCACTAGTGAGTTGTGACTAGTGACTAGAGACTATGTAGTGACTAGTGAGCAGGGAGTAGTAAGTAGTGAGTAATGAATCGTGAGTAGCGGGAAGTGAGTAGTGAGTATTGAGTAGCGAGTATGGGAGTAGCGACTAGTGAGTACTGAGTACTGTGTAGTCAGTATTTTGTAGGGAGTAGTGAGTAGCGAGTAGTGGGTAGTGAGTAGTGATTTGTGGGAGTAGTTAGTAGTGAGTAGTGAGTAGTGGATAGTAGATCCGCCGGCCCCCTTGTGGGGCCACCAGGCTGTAGGCGCGGGATTCGCAGTTTCCTGTACCAGTTGTAGCTTGTAGTTTCCAGTGGTACAGTTCTGCTTATTGCTCGTTACTGTAACTAATTGATTGACCGCGCGAGGGGGGGGAGGCCCAAACCGGCATTTTAGCACCCCCTGGGCGCGTTGTCTGAATTGCTGGGGGAGCTCGAAATCGACACCCCTCACACAGATCGGCGGGGTCAGGGTCCAAAAACACAAGGGATTTGCCTCATTTCTGAAATTCGGTGTCACCCCTCACGCAGATCCGCGGGGTCAGGGTCAAAAAACACAGGGGATTTGCCACATTTCTGAAATTCGGTGCCACCCTTCATGCAGATCCGCGGGGTAAGGGTCCAAAAACACAGAGGATGCGCCACATTTCTGAAATTCGGTGCCACCCCTTACGCAGATCCGCGGGATCAGAATCCAAAACCACAAGGGATTTGTTACATGTCTGAAATTCGGTGCCACCCCTCACGCAGATCCGCGGGGTGAGGGTCCAAAAACACATGGGATTTGCCACATTTCTGAAATTCGGTGCCACCCCTCACGCAGATCCGCGGGGTCAGGGTCCAAAAACACAGGGATTTGCCACATTTCTGAAATTCGGTGCCACCCCTCACGCAGATCCGCGGGGTCAGGGTCCAAAAACACAGGGGATTTGCCACATTTCTGAAATTCGGTGCCACCCCTCACGCAGATCCGCGGGGTCAGGGTCCAAAAACACAGGGGATTTGCCACATTTCTGAAATTCGGTGCCACCCTTCACGCACATCCATCGCAAGGCGTGGTAACCCAAACTGCGAGAACTCCCTCGGCCCTTTAATCGCAAGGTGTGGTAACCAAGCCCGTAAACCATACACGTCTTACCAATCGCCAGGTGTGGTAACCCCTCTTGTGATCAGTTGGTTTTGCTGATTGCGAATCGGCTTCGCATGAAGTTTCGATACTGCTTCACGACAGCGCCAAGGCCTCATGACTTAGCTCTTCCATGGCCCATTCTCCGAGAGAGGGGGCCGGCGGCAGGGGGCGAAGCCCTTACGGATAATGAGTAGTGATTAGTGAGTAGTGAGTAGGGAGTAGTGCTTAGTGAATATTGAGTA